CCCCCCACCCACACCCCCCACCCCACCCACACCCACACCCACACCCACACCCACACCCACACCCACACCCACACCCACACCCACACCCACACCCACACCCCACTAAAAACATGGGTGAAACGTGTTCTTTGTATCGAATGAATCATGTGAAGAAATCAAACAAACATTCATTGCTGTCAATCATTTTCCTACTTTTTATTAAGGAACAACGAAATATCAAAACGCAGACTGTTTGAATCTTTGTCTGCATCTGCATTAAAAAAATTCTTGCAGTGATGAGTAAGCAACATAGTCATGTTTACTTTCGTCGCTATGATATTTTCCATTAACAACGACAACAACACAAATGATTTTTAATACTATTATTTCGAACAACTTTCAGACAAGATCCTATAGAAAATTTTCGTTATAAGCTAATACTAGCTTATAGAATTAGCAACGAGCAGCTACCATGATAGGAAAATACAGGTGAAAAATCTAGAATGAAGGAAACTTATGTGGAACAAGTGAAATAAACAAACTTTGAATTCATGTTTCTCGAATAAGACTGCTGAATAAAAATGTCTTTCGTGACAAAATCGGTCAGAAAGCAACGTGAAATACTTTGTACTAAAGTTTTCAAGTGTTAGGCATATTTTTTGGTCCATCCTACAACATTTTGAAAATGATTGGCAATCCTGCACCTACTATATGATGCTTCGTATTAGAGAAACTATTGGTGTCAATGTTAGGTTTCAGTGAACTATTCATCAAAAACTGGCAGTAATATTCACTGAAACGTGATTACAGTTGATTGACATTCAATAAAAGATTGACACATCGATATAGTACAAATAAATCAAATAAATCGGTAAATGCCGTCCTATAAAGTTCTAGTCGGAACGAGAAAAAAAATTTCATCATAAACTTTCTTTTAAGTTTTAGAAGAAGACATTATGATCCTTCTAGCATAAGCATGACAATCCGTCCAAAAAATGAATTATTTTTTGCTTCGATAAAATTTATAAATACACTTCCTTTTTTTTGAATATTACAAATAACCCGTCAACGCTTGCATTTTCTTTTCTTTTCTTCAACAAGAAGATTGTGAAAGAAGTACATGGCATTCTCCGACATGTGTAGTCATGTTGGTTGAATAAAACTTCCTTCAAAAACACGTAATGCAGACAGATGAAAAAATGATAGTGTAGAGGTGGTTAGTTTTTAGCTGAGTACTGGATACAATTATTTATATAATTTATCCGAAAAGCAATCGGTTACAGATTCCCTTCACATGAAGACAATATCAAGTAAAGCAATGCAGTAATCAGATATAACTTCATATATAGTGAAGATTCTACGCATCACGTCAAAAGGTTTTGTAAGTCGGGCTGAGTTATTTTTTCTTAAAATATGTGACTAGCCAGCAACTAACTCGTGAAACGTCGCTAAACTACATATTTTAAATAGATTTCCAAATTTCAAGAGATTAAATCATTTTCGTTAACTTTTTAAATCTAAATGGAGCAATTCAGGGTCTTTCCATGAATTTTCTCTCTTGAAAACATCTCGAGTTTTCAAGTTGATCGAATAATATTTCATTTTATGGAAAGTGATTTTTTAGTATGAAACTATTAGTATCTTCAGAGACTCTTAGGACGAGTGTGACCTTCGTACTTCAGCTGTTTATATGAAAGTATTTCTTTTTATGATTTTCACATCAGTAGTATTTTGTACATGGGCTATATGGCTAAGCCACGAGAATCAAGAGGTCATGACATATCAAAAGATATACATGTGAAATTATGGTCAAACTACAGAGCATTCGACTGAGAATTGAATGCTAAACTAAATTATATGTATTAGATGAATTTAAGATGTGCACTAGAGTATGAAAGGCTAAGCATACTTCTCAGCATCAGAAGGTGGGTATCGGTGTGCATGTGAGTATTAATCTTGTCTTTATCTGCAACCACATCCAGACCTACACTCTTCTCAGGAATTCAGAAAAATAGCAACGCTCTCCATAATGTAGTGCCTAAAATAAATGTATGGCTATCATTATTTTAACGATGCCTTTCCATCGTTTGCATCTATACTATTATTTGATGATTGTAGATCTAAAATTTGATTGAAAGCATTTCAATAAACCATGCAGGGAGCACGTGATTGCTTGGCTTTTGCTTGCCTTTTGTTGGTAGGATTTGGAATTTTCTTAGGAATTGGCATTGGGAATTATATCCCTACTCAGAATCAACGAAACACATATGATACCAACACAAAGTGTCTTGTATTAGACTCTAATTATACCACTAAGATGTGTCAATCATGTTCTACTGATCACACTGCTAACAATCATACTTCAATTAAACCACCAAACCCTCGCTTTTTGGGAACTGATTACACAACTCATACTTTTTATCGCGAGAGCTTTTTGGTGAACTATCCGATCTTTAATGAAACTTTTATTACTAGTGTTATTTCAACGTCACCCAGTTCAAATCGCCGAAATATGCAAGTAAATATGTAAACAAACACAAAGATTATAGTAGCCTTCTTTATTTGCATCCGACAAAGTATCGAGAATCGTTGTCTGTGGAGTATGATTAGTTATGAGATATATTGAAGCAATAAGAGTGAATGAGTGCAGAAGTAGATTAAAGTAAACAAAAGATTAACTTCTACGACGAACATTTACTTGTTATTTTAGATAGTGGTTCCTAGTTTCTGCTGAACAAGACATATTAAACACAGGAATACCTTTGATAAGGACGTGTATAATGATGGATAAATTCGTTTTGGTGCCTAGGTGTTCTGAACAAGAAAAACAAACTTTTTGTCTAGAACTTAACTTCCGATTTTATACTTACGGCTCAACCTCAAAGGGTATGTTATCCCAATGATTAAAGCCTAACAAACCCAACAAAATAACTATGCTTATTGTAAAATGGTGTAAAGATGTATGCTATGATGTCTGGAAAAGTATTGTAAATTCTTTAGGAACAACACATTAATGCACTCCTCAAGATAGCTAAAAGTATTAATTGTCATAAATACATTCCTAAGCAAAGGATATTATTTATTTTATTGATTCGGATGCAGCATCTCGTTGGAATAATTTATCTATATCTACGCGTATATTTTCTACTGAAAATTTCAATATCTTTCGTATTCAGGAATGTTCACACCTTGTTTCTTGTTTCAGTTTCAAATTAGATATTGCGTATTTTGTTAAATTCATAATTCCGTATAAAATCAGTTATAGTACGCATATCTCATACCAGGATTGTCAGGTAATTCAACTGAGGTACTCTAGAATTGACACAAATTTCGTCAGTAACTTACCCAATCATACTGATGTCTCGAATGTTCATGCAATCATGTTACATTCTAAAGCTTACGCTATTTATTAGTTGCCTATTTAAGTATTTATTTTTAGCTGAAAAGGTAAATTTTCGAGTATGTATATCTCAGTTTTAGTTTTGAGTGGGATTCATGATAAGCGATATCAAGTCTCCCATATTAAATGATTGAAAGAATTCTTATATATAAATATTATTATTTCATTGACTTTTTTACATTTCATTATAGATCAACAACACTTACGATTGCTACTACAATTCAAAATATGTTACATCTGTTGTATGGGAACAAGATAGTTTGGTAACTGGCTTGGTTTTAATCGTCATTGGTTCTACTGGAATGGGAATAATACTGATAATAACTGCAGTAATAATGACACTTACATGGTTGCGGTGCTAAGAAAAATAGAATAGGTAGTGGCGGCGAAAGACTACTAGCGCCTCTCTTGTTTTGGGTGGGCAGTAGAAGGTGGCGCCATCTCTATGTATGTCGTATTCTGCTGGATACAAATCAATAGTGGAGCTGCTAACGGCGGAACTAGAACACAAGCTTCTCTCTTCTTCTACTAAGGGCAGTGGAATTGCCTTCTACTATATTGACACTGTATTCTTGATTACAAGGCGCACGCCTTGGAGGCGCCACCTTCTACTGTCCACACAAAACAAGAGGGCACTAGTAGTCTCGCACCGCCACTAATTTCTTCGTTTAACTTTCTTGTGTAATTTTTATCAGATATTAGTCGCAAAATCACGATTGATTCAACTTCTATACTAATAAAATTATAAGACAAACAAAAATGAACTAGCCATGTTTAGAGTCACAAATTATTGAAGAAATCATCGTTTTCGATATTTTTCTACTTCCATATTCACTTTTCGACATTTTTCCAGCATAGCTTGAATTCTTAATTCTATATTGAAATTAAAAAGTTATCCAAATGTAAAATGTTCGGGATTCCGGAACTTCGCCAATTTTGACTTTCGCCAATTATTGGCGAAATTCCACGGAATGTATTAGCGAAAGGGTGTGGGTGTGGGTGTGGGTGGGTGTCAATGAATTAAATTCCCATACCCAAACCTGCACCCACACCCACACCCATACCCATACCCACACGCTAACCATACGCCCAATATGTAAAAAATAAGTTGAGCCGATAACATGTACAATCAATAATTGTCGGAGAAGATATGAGAGTTAAAAAATGAAAGTACAAGATAGTGATTATTTTGATCCACAAATAAAATAAAAAATAATATCATATTGTTCTACTATTTGACTTAACATCATTCGTTCATTTTTTAATGTTTCTAGTATTTAGAAAAGGTAAAATAAGAGCTATCGTCTTTAAATAAACCAGTCATTTAGACACTGATTTTCATTTTTCTGAGGATAGCTTGCTTATTCTTCCCGCAGTATGTTTCTCTCCACAATTATTATTACATACAATACATGATGATTTACTCTCTAATTTAAATCAAGGGCTATTATTATAACAGCTGTTTCATTGTCTGAAAAATTAATTAATACTCAAAACGGTAAATTATTTGAAATCGAAATAGATAGTGGTCAGATTTTTTTTTTAACATCTGGAAGTAGAGAGAGTTGATAACAATTCATAGGAATACGAATTTTACTTTTCGAAAAGTTTTCATATCATTTATATCTGTAATTTGAAAAATATGTCATCATCAAGAATATCATCTCTAGACACCCATTTAGTTCATCGATTGTTTTATTAGGAAGTCTGAGTCGTAAGATGGTGGGTGAGCTGTGGGACTGATAACACTCACCTCACACCTGTAGCCATATTCATGGAAATCATCTAATCGAATATAAATAGATGATTACGATTTTCATGTTTGACTTAATCGTGTAGGGTGCAGGTTTCAAAATTTGAACCTACGCGGGACTTTAGTACCAATATTGTTGTATATCGTGTCACATATTTTTCTCGTTTAAATTTTATTATTAACAAGAAAATAGATTAATATGATTTTATTTAATCTTTTGTTTTTATCTTCGTCAAATAAAAATTAAAAAAGCCTACGAATAAAAACCAAAAAACGAATTTGAGGCTTCCTTCTTCGTTTTTTTAGACTGTCGTTTATTTTTTGATGATGTCTGTCCATTTTCGAGATCGTTCGATAAAGTTCCTAGTGATGCATTTTTTCGTGCATAAATCTCTACTAAGGATGTTGATTCGTGAATATCGTCGCCATTTCCAGGTACGCCCAATTCTAGACACAAACGACGAGCGTTTTCGATACTCAATTTATCAAATTTATGTTCAACGACAAGTCGGCCGTCACGCAGAAGAGCAGCATCGATACTTTTGACATCACAATTAAACGTACAAATGATTTGTTGATGCATAGCATCACCCAGTAGGCCATCAGAAAGGTTTAACAAATTGGCAACGGCTTGGTTAGCTAGAAAAGTATCTTGATTTCGATCACGGATTATATTTTCAGCATCCTCCACAATCAGAATTGAGTTTGGATATCACATGAGAAATGGCAAAAGACCGGGCTTTGTCATATCCTAAAATAAACAAGACATTAGTGTTATCATCACTCCATGTTCTTTTTTAATGACATTTATCTATACATTTTTGACAATATAATATAACTTATAAATTAGTTTATCGATCAATATTGTTTACGTGCTTTAAACATCACGATGAACTGTGCAAAGAAGAATTTTGTTAAAAAATGATTAGTTTAACGATAATATTAACAAGTATAATTGATTTATTAGTCTTTTATGAAAAACTCATCTCCAACATTTTTTCGTATAGTTATGATGATTTCAAGAATGAATTTTTTCTCTTGTTTAACAAGATTAAGAAATCAATTAGACGAGTTTTTCTTCAAAGAAAAGTGACTTCAAACTAGAAGTGTCTCTGTCGAAATTTAAAAACAAACTTTTGTTTAAGAAAACTAATAAAACAATCAATCAAGATGAAGAAAATACTCTTTGAGTGACTTACATTAACAAGATCAGGTGGAACATAGATCAAGCTTTTGTCTTTAATTTCATTGATCAAATATCGTAGATAAAATGTCTTTCCCGTACCGGGTGGACCATGAAGAAAAGTAATACCAGTTGAATCTTTTTCTTGAAGTACTTCAAGAAGCTCTGCATGTATATCAGGAAAATCATCTCCATAATGAATTTTCAGATCAACTATATGAGGTTTTTTCATGCGTATCGACGATGTATAGAAACCACGTTGAGCATCATGACAAACCATTTGTAGAGTAGCTTCAGTTACTGGAAACAATTTAAATTTCGATAATTGTTGCAATAAGGTTCGCACACGTTCTGCTGTTTATGGTACGTGGAACACCTGAGTACAAACAAGAAATATTTTTTCTAATCATAGACTTTTGAAACACATGATTATTAGAAGTTTTTAAACTTTTTAAGCAAAACAATCATTTATATAAGATAGTTCTTTCTATTATATATTTCTTTGTTCGAATAAATTAATATGAAACAATCTTACATGTTTATAGTTCATGCAAACATTTACAAATATAGAAATCATCCTGATGTTTAGAATTGGATAAGAATTGAATAGGAATTTTAGGAGTATCAACGAATTTAAGACATTCAAGAATTTAGCAGAAGGATATGAAACTCTGTTGTATCAATTCAGAATATCATTTTATTTCTTTAAATTTATTAAACTTGTTATTTCGAGACGATGAATAGACATGAATCATCCCCTGCAAGAAAAAACAATTTTGATCAAATTTATCCGTTTTGTGGTTTACCCGTCGTTCGATACAACAGTATGTCTAACTTTGAATGTACTATAGTTTATCAATTTTATAATGAGATCTAAGAATTGTACGTAAGGTTTTTCTGAATCTTCATTTAGAAAAAAAAGTGATTTCTTTCAAGTCTTTCCAGCTTCTCTGTTGACTTTTGATCAGTGATGGACATCTTTTTATCTGTTCATACAAATCATTCTAATCGGTAATTCATGACAAAATCACAAGAGGATTCTATTTTTACTAGTGCTTTTGATTTTGACGTTTCTGTACGTTCCAGATTTCTCCGTGAATTCAAACGCTAAAAAGCTAGGCCTAATGTCAAAATGAAGGCAAAAATTAGAGATCTATAGCTTAATAGAGTCTGATGCCTAACTCCAGACACATCTTCACTCCTTTCGAAAGTTTTCTTGAGCACACAGAGGAACTATTCATATTTAAATTGAAACAAAAAAAAGAATATTAACTTTGAAATGATTCCAAAGGGAAAGTGCACTTACAGTTTTCAAATATCTATTTTTTTATTTAATAGAAATTCAGTGTAGTTTCATCATGGATATATGAAAGATTGTCTTAACAGGTTACAAAACTTGAAGATTAAAATAGTTTTTAGATAAAATATCCACTTAATTTAGAAGAATAAGAGAATTTTCCTTACTTAAATTATTTAGGATGTTTTATTTTTGTAAAATTCGAGCTGCTACTCGTACGAAAAGAAAATTCAAATTACTGTGTCTTCTCATTTTTGAAAATATTCTTAAAACTTTATTAAAATTCATTGAACATTTTCAAGTTAAATTTGTCAATAGAAAACTTTTCAAAATGATTCAGTTTTCTATTCTTGATCAACTAAACATATAATATTTAAAATCAATGATAATGATCAATCAGACAAATATTAAAAAAAAAACAATTTCGTTTAAACAAGTTTTATAGTCAGTTGGATGCTATAAACAAAGGTTTGAATATGTTGAAATGACAATATTTATTTATTCCATCATGTAAAATTTAATTGAGAAAAAGAAAAACAATCTAAGATAATAAATCTCAAATGATATTTTACCTGAAGAGAAGAAAAACAATTGAAGGTCTTGTCTTCATGATCTGATTCGAGATTGTTCGGATTGTCAACACTTATAGGACTTATAGAACCACCACTGAATTGCACTAAAACATAATTGAACTATTAGAGTTTATTGCTTTCTTTTTAAAAATTCATCAAAACAAAGGACGGGGGCGCATAAGATACCGTTTTGGCCCATTTTGATTTTCCTATGAACTGATATTGAATTATATACCATAAGAAAGAGCTTCTCAAGACGAACATTTTAATGTCAAATTCATGAGGTTTTCATAGACTTTTCATGACAAAACGCTTTAAATAAACTACCACATTTTGGTCATAAATTTAGTAATTTTTTTGATAGTTCATGAGATATTTTAACTTCAAAATGGA